GTCTGTCTATTTCTGCGTCTGTCACTGTCTCTCCCTGTGTCTCTGTCTCTCTGTGTGTCTCTGTCCGTTTCTGTGTCTGTCACTGTCTCTCTGTCACTGTCTCTCTCTGTCACTGTCTCTGTCTCTGTGTGTCTCTGTGTGTCTCTGTTTCTGTGTCTGTCACTGTCTGTCTGTCACTGTCTCTGTCTCTGTGTGTGTTTCTGTTTCTGTGTCTGTCACTCTGTCACTGTCTTTGTCACTGCTCTCTCTGTGTGCATCTCTCTCTGTCTCTGTGTGTGTGTCTGTGTGTCTGTCTATTTCTGCGTCTGTCACTGTCTCTCCCTGTGTCTCTCTCTGTCTCTCTGTGTGTCTGTCTATTTCTCTGTCTGTCACTGTCTCTGTCACTGTCTCTGTGTGTGTCTCTGTCCGTTTCTGTGTCTGTCACTGTCTCTCCCTGTGTCTCTCTCTGTGTGTCTCTGTTTCTGTGTCTGTCACTGTCTGTCTGTCACTGTCTCTGTCTGTGTGTGTTTCTGTTTCTGTGTCTGTTACTCTGTCACTTTCTTTGTCACTGTCTCTCTCTGTGTGTCTCTGTTTTTGTGTCCGTCACTGTCTCTCTGTGTGTGTCTCTCTCTGTCTCTGTGTGTGTCTCTGTTTCTGTGTCTGTCACTCTCTCTGTCACTGTCTCTCTCTGTGTGTCTCTGTGTCTCTGTGTGTCTCTCTGTTTCTGGTTGTCACTGTCTCTTTCTGTCATTGTCTCCCCCCTCTTCCTCCCTCTCTCTCCTTACATTCCCTGAGGTCCTCAGTTGGGACTCCGTGTGCACTATAGACACAAACAGATTTCTCCGCCTGTCGAGGTAAAGTGACCTCATCCTCAGGTCTCCTCCAGTGGCTGGGTGAACTGTGAGTGTTGAAGACAAAAGGTCTAGCCTGTTTACTCACGCCAGTATTCTATCCACTGTGGCGGGCCGACGCTAGAGGATGACATAAGGCCAGCCTGGACTACAGGAAGAACTGAAGGTCACTCTGCGGGATTCAATAACACCCTACCACAAAATCAAAGGATAGAAAACAGGGCTGGACACAGCTGGGTGGATGAGTGGTCACAGTGCACGTGAGCGTGCAGTGAAACCACGGAACCGGACTACTCCGTGGATAGAAAGGTCTATCTATTGGGGAATTTTAAACTACTATGGCTATCTTTCTGGGGAGAGAACAGCAGACGGTAGGGAAAGTCTTGCCCATTTTGAGAAGGGGCAGGTAGCCTCTGGGAAGAGAAGTTTTGCAAGCCAAAACAGTCTAGGAACGAGTGTAGAACCAGAATGTGTTACGGCTTTGTGTGAATAGGGGCAGAGGGCCCGGGAGCTATTGTGCGGATTTTAGTAAGTGTTCTGGGTAGATGTTCATAGGAAACTAGATGTGCATTTTGCTGCTGGGGGTACTGTCTGTAAGAGAAGATGAGGCAAGAATGGCTCTTTCTGACAGAAGTCAGCAGCACAGATTCTATCCCAAGCGCTGAAAGAAGCAATAACAGAAAAATGGCAGCATTTGGCTATCTCAGGAAAATACCATGCTTAGCAGAGGGCTTTGGTGAACACGGAGGCCTGGGAGAATGGGGGATGTGAGGAAACCTGGCAGAGACAGCCACGTCTGCTGATAGGACATTTCAAACGTGGACTTTGAAACCAAGGAGACATGGCTCCAGAAAACATGCTCAGAATCACTGTGCCTCTATGTAGTGATATTGTCAGACCCCCGGAAAACTCAGTTATCCGGAGTCCTAGGCCACGACCGCGGTCACCCCAATCACCAGGCAGATTCGAGAGCTTGCTTTAAACTGCATGAGGCTTTATTGTTTTTTTTAACGAGCTAACTCTATGTTAGCTCGGGTCTTTCACCCACCCGCCATGGAGGATGGCTAGCAAAGACAACTCCTAGGGACTCCCGAGAGATCTTGTAGGACAGCGTAAGGGGAGTGTCTAGGGGTACGAACAGGCTCAGGATTGGTGTGCCTCCAGGCTTGGAGGGCTTGCCCTGTGTTGATTGGTCAACTGGTTGTTATGGCCCATAGGCCCTCCCAGGGTGGTTGCTATGCTCTTCATTCATTGCTGTGCGATTGTCCATAAAGCACACCCAGAGCCGTAAAGCATACTACCACCAGCTAACTTCTGATTGGTTCCTTGCCATGAGGCAGGCATCTGACTTCCTAGTGACTAAGACAAGGTCAGACAAGCACGTGTTCAGCTGTTATGGCTGTGGAAATGGGGAGCTGGTCCCTTCAGTTTTATCTTTATTAATTCCCAATTTTCCTACGTGTCACATCTGTCTCTCCTCTATCCCGAAGCAGTCCAGGATAAATATTCCTTTCCTTTCTGAAAGGTTCAGGCATTATGCTGGCCTGCCCGTTACCTGGTAGAACAGGCAGTACCCTGGTCAGCCCAAGGTTCCATTGGAACTAAGTCTGCACACAGGTGCAGAGGACCCCTTTAAAAAGACAGATCCCTGCCCATTTACTGTCTCTGCTTCCTCTCTGTTTCCTCTCTACTCTCTTTCTCACCTACGTGTTCTCTCTGCGGCGACCAGCCATGGCGGTCAGCCATTATCCCTGTTCCTTTCCTCTTCTTAGTCTCCCTACTCTGCCGGGCCTTATAATAAACTTATAGTCAACATGTCTCATGTCTCAGCATTTCTCTTTTCTTTTTTTTTTAAACGAAAGAATAGCATTTGGCGCCTGGACGTGGAAAGACTCTGTCCTTGCACCTTCTCCCGCAGCCTGCTGACGGGCACGTGGTAAGGCAAGGGTACCCTTACAACCTACACTCCATCTCACCAGTAACTGAGGATCTCTGGAACTCACTCACCTGCCTGTTCGCTGCAATCCAGTAAGATACCCCATAACTTTTCCCATGGGGCAGACCCAGCACTACATTTTAAAGTTCACTCTGGGTCCATTTTTCGGTTTCGGACTGCTGAGCATCTTTCGGGCTTTCTGCCGGTGCTCTCAGACAGAGCAATCTGTGCCACTTTTTGGCCTTGCCCACGGGAAATACATTTTACGGGATCTTTCGGTTACTGCCAGCAAGTAGGTAAATGAGTGGAGTTCTGCCTCCCAGTGGGAACTTTCTTTCACCTGGGAATGTCCCTCATCTTTTTGCCTATCTCTATGTTTCTTCTTGGTTGGCAATGTCTGCTTCAGACGCTCTGAGAGTTTTTTGTTTGTTTGCTGGTTTTGATTTTTCCACATGAATGAGGTGTGAAACTTTTCGGGCAATTGAGAATATGCTTACGGGGGTCTTCATCTTGGCCATGTGCGCTAACCTGGGGGCCGCCATCTTGGTCATGTGCCATCCTAACCAGGTGACCTAGCTTGGGCCTGCCCACTCAGTTCAGTGACTTGCACAGGCAAGCATGGCCACCAGACATTTTACTTTTTATTTCTTCTTTCACTTGTTGGGTGCATTTCCTGAGGATCAGGCATAGGATCCCACTCTAGGAGCGGTGCTTTTTTGCTTTTTTTCAGTTCGGACTGCTGGGTCCTTTTTCGGTTTCGGGACAGCTGTGTCCCCTTCAGGGCCAGGCCCCTGGCAACTCCCACGGGCAGATGTACATCCGGAGAGGAGCTTTTTGCCGGTTTTCCACCTGCCTCACCCATGGGCCATGCATAGAGGAACCTTTCTGGTTTCATCCAACAAGCAGGTAAATAGACAACAGTGGCTTATTTTCGCTGCCATCTTGGTCATGTGACCTACCTGTAGGCACGCCCAGCTCCAGCGGCCTGTGCCAGCAAACCTGTCTGCTGGATTTTTTATTTCTGCCAGATCTTTTTGCTTTTTATTTTATTTTTTGTCTATGATTTCTTCTTTCACTGGCTCTGTTGTTCATGGCTTTTTTACTAAATACTTTGCCTTTCCAGGGCCCTCTGTTTAAGTCTACCCTGTCCCTTAAAATCTCCTGTCCATTTGCTACAATGAACGGATCAGAGATTACATTCTAGTTCCCCTTTTACTGTTATCCAGTCCTGCTTGTCTCTGTACCTGTAATTTAACTTTACACTTATCTAGCTCTATATGAAACTTAAACTGTGCTAAGTGTCATATTTCTAAATTACTATATATCTTAAAATGATGGTAAATACAACTTAAATTATAATGTATCTTTAAATGATGATGAAAGTTTAAAATCATAAAGGTCTATTTCAAACTAACAAAATATTTATATCACTCAGTCTATCCTGTAAGCCGTTTACAAAGGTACAGTTTTTATTACAAAAAGGGATTTTTCTCTAACTAAAGACAAACTTAACTACTGAGATACTAAACAGACAGCCCTCAAATGCTCAGAGATCTAGAGAATATGGCATTTAAAATGTTTTGTTTAAAAGCTTTTTATAACAAAGAGATAGGCCAGCTGCTGTCCCCACTCCATTTCCTCCAAGAAGACTGATGGGCACTTAAGAAACTTCATCTCCAGTCAGTGACAATGCTGGTCATTGAGCAACCTTCACCTCAACTACTACAAAGTATTCCAGTCGGTGGACAAGATGACAGTGGAATCGACTTTCCCCGAGTTGCTTGGGACAATGGTAGGCCAGTCTTCCTATAGTCTGTAATACACAGGTCACATGCTACAAGCAAGAAGGCAGGTGTCTTGCAGCCTGCTACTATGGATGGAGGACCTTGGGGATGGCTGTCCATGCAGCCTGCTGGCAAGTCTCTGTTATTCTTTAATCATTAATTCAGGTAAAATCTTATCCTTCTCAAGAACTCTGATGCTTTTGACGACTGGTAGTCTTGCCAGGTTAAAGCAAAACAGATTCCAGGAACAGGTATTTTAGGGTTTATCTATGTGAAGATCGGAAAGTGTAAGATGTATGAAGGTCTGAGAATGTAGTTACGAAGGTCTGAGGATGGAAAGGTCTAACACGGTGGATAAATGCAAGTTATGAAGGTAAGAATGGAAGGTCTAAGATGGTAATGTAAAGTGTATGAATTAAAATTATAAAGGTCTGAGGATAAAAAGGCTTAAGTGGCTTCTTCCTCGGCGCTACCTTCGAGGTAGCTGACATCTCTTTTTCGGCATCATGGCTGCCCTCCGCCCTCTGGTGAAACCCAAGATCGTCAAAAAGAGGACCAAGAAGTTCATCCGGCACCAGTCAGACCGATATGTCAAAATTAAGGGAAACTGGCGGAAACCCAGAGGTATTGACAACAGGGTTCAGAGAAGATTCAAGGGCCAGATCCTGATGCCCAACATTGGTTACGGGAGCAACAAGAAAACCAAGCACATGCTGCCTAGTGGCTTCTGGAAGTTTCTGGTTCATGCTGAGATTGCTCACAATGTTTCGAAAAGCCATTGTAGAAAGAGCAGCACAGCTGGCCATCAGAATCACCAATCCCAATGCCAGGCTTCGCAGCGAAGAAAATGAGTAGATGGCTGGTGTGCATGTTTTATTTGTGTTTAAATAAAACCATAAAAGCTGGAAAAAAAGGCTTAAGTGATGATAAAGTGAGTTGAGACATTAAAAAGAATGGAATATGTTCCGGATTTCTCGATTTCTCATGCTACTGTTCATAATAAAGTTCAACAATACCACTATAGGATCATAACTACAAGGTCAAGATTAAGATGTTTTTCATTGTCCTAAAAAATATCTGTCAATTTTAAAATGGTAATGTTTTCAGCCAAGTTGCTTGTAACATAAATACGCTGCTAATGTGTCTAATACTTATGTTTCCACAAACTAAGGATTCTTGTAAGTTCCAGGGAGCCGAATCAGATCCAAACAGGTCAGATTCACTCCAGGTAATATTCAACCTTTCCCCGGTCCCAAATTCCCTTCCCTCATCTTGGGACACCTCGGGAACCCCTCCCTCGCCTTACAATCTTCCCTCAAATACCAGGACCTAGCAATTTTTTTTTTTTTTTTCTAAACTTAACCTTGTCCTCTGCTCTGTCAACATCTTGCCAGGTCAGGGAGTTCCATACAGACTGGACTGCAATGAAACAACCAGCTACCCCAGGATGTGGCAGCACCCCAACCTTCTCGGGTCCCCCAAAGATGGTCAATGCCCCCCACGTCAACAGGAAGCAGTCTCGAGAATTTGACGCCCTTATTCCTTAACCTGCCATGTCTAACACCCCACCTTTTTTTTTTTTTAAATAATAAGTAGAGGTGGGAATGAAAGGTTCAGGCATTGTGCTGGCCTGCCCCTGTTACCTGGTGGAACAGGCAGTAAGTACCCTGGTCAGCACGAAGTTCCATGGGAACTAAGTCTGCACGCAAGTGCAGAGGACCCCTTTAAAAAGACAGATCCCTGCCCATTTACTCTCTCTGCTTCCTCTTTACTCTCTCACCTATGTGCTCATTATCCCTGTTCCTTTCCTCTTAGTCTCCCTACTCTGCTGGGCCTTACAATAAACATGTCTCATTTCTCTTTTCTTCTTTTTAAACAAAAGAATAACACTTTCTCCCTTTGACCCCTATCTCCTTTACCACCTCATCCTCTTAAAAATTATACCTACGAGGCCATTTGCTGCTTGAGTCAGAAAGCAGCCACTTTAACTTGTCCTCCCCACTTAATAAAGGCTTTCTGGTGTTTGGATGTAGCTTGTGCCTAATCTGGGTCCAGGAGAAATTCCTCACTGTTACAGATTGTAATGTATCCGAAGTTTTCTTCTTTTGCAAAGGTATCAGCACTTAACTGCATACAGTTGGAACAAATCAGGAAAAGCATAAATAGGGCAAGGGGTTTCTTTTTAGCACCCTGCATTAAGTTTTATTCAGGGATCAGGGATGGGCATTGGTGGCATCATTTCTGTCTGATGTCTCTACAGAGAAAAGGGCCAAGGAAACTATCACATGGAACTGGAAGGCAGGAGCAGTGATCTGATCCTGGAAGCCGCGTCTTTAGAAGGGAGAATCCGCGGGATGGAGAGAGTCGGGAAAGCAACTAGGGGCACTAGGAGAGCTAGCCTAAGGCGAAGGAGCAAGCAGGAGAGGGAGGTGACCTTTCGGGCAACTGAATTTGGGGCCTCAGCCACCAGAATCTTATGTTCTCTGAGAAGGAAGGGTTCTCGGTTCTTTTGTCTCACTCGGGGACAAAATGGAGATGGGGGGGGGGGCAGCCTGACTTCGGGAAGGGGAGACCCCGGGAAGGGTGTCTATAGAAGATAACTAACATATCCATTGAAACAATCGAAGGCAGGGTCCCGGAAAAATGGCAATCTTTAGATTTGAAGAGGACTTGAGACCTTTAAAGAATAAAATCACATAGCTCAATAAAACTTTAGTAATAACTAAGGAAAAAGTAAGGAAAAGCTTGGGGTGGGGGAAGAAACGGGGTGAGAAGAGACACTTAACCTCCTCTGCGGGTCAACTACAATCATTACAGAAAAAGTAAGGCTAAGCGCAAGATGAGTACAAGACTTTCTTTGCAACAAGAATACCAGGGGAGAGCGCGAACGCAGTCCCCCACTAACACAAATTATGCAGTCGAGTTTCCCGCATTTGGGGAAATCGCAGGGGTCAGCACACCCCAAGTGCAATGGGTGGGCCTCGCCCTGGGAAAACCACCTACTTGATCATGGTATCTCCCCTGCCAGGTAAGTATGCTTCCCACAGCCCAGCCACACCGGCCCTGCGCTCTCAACACACGGTCACTTCGCCGCGCGCGCTCCGGGGCCTCCGCCGACGCGCACCCCGCTCCTGCGCTACGCTCACGCCCGCCCACCCGCGATCCCCCCAGGCCGCGCGCGAAATCCCTCCATGTCTTGCAGCGAGTGCGGACGCCGCAGCCCCTGCGCGACCCTCATCTGCATAGATACCGCCCACATCCGTGACATCAAGGATGACGTCTCCGTCCCCAGCCAACCAGTGCGTCCGCCCCCCACCTGGGAGGAGGAGGTGCCACCCTGCCGGGCGCTTTTCTGCACCTCATCTGCGTAGACCACGACCCTCCCCTCCCCCTCGCTCCGTTGGCTTGGTGAACTTGCTTTTTTACTCCTTGCTTTTCTCCGTGTAACGGTCCTGTTTGTCCTGGAACTCACTCTGGCGACCAGGCTGGCCTCCAACTCACAGGGATCCGCCTGCCTCTGCTTCCCGAGTGCTGGCAGTAAAGGCAAGTGACACTAGGCAGGGACTTCACATTATCTATAAACTCTTCTTATTCCTTGTTTCTATTCTACGGTTCCCAATTGGCATTTTGTTTTCATCTGAGGCTACTTATTTTTCTTTTCCTTTTTTTTTTTGGGGGGGGGTGGGAGGGAGTCTCCGTGTTGCTCTTACTGGTCTGGAAGTGATGTAGGAGAAATTTGAAGTGGCAAAATTAGAGCTATAAAGGATTTACTAATAAACATGCTTTGTAAATATCAAGCTACATATAAAGTAGAATTTAGCAAAGAGAAGGCTGCTGCCAGTGACTGGAGATAAGGAGTGTATGTAAACAGAATTAGATAGTATGAGAAAGAAAATTTGTACCATGACTGGAAGTTTAGAGTTGCTAAGAAAGTACCTCTTAGTACTACTCAGCGGAAAAAAAAAAAAAAATGGAATCTTGAAATTTGCAGGAAAATGGATGGAACTAGAAGAAACCAACCACAAAAAGACAAACATGATATGTACTCACTCATATGTGGATTTTAGACATAGAGCAAAGGATTACCAGCCTACAATCCACACTGCCAGAGAAGCCAGTAAACAAGGAGGACCCCCAAATTCCTATGCTGGGTGCAGGGGTATGGCCTTGCCCACCTTTGAGAAAGACAAGGGGAGAAGATAGAGAGGAAGACAGGACAGAAGGCAAAGGACACACCTCACAATTGGCTGTAATTCCAGTCCTAGGCAATCTAAACTTTTCTTGTGGACTCTGTGGTACCAGGCAAGAGCTTGTTCAAAAGCATACATGCAAGCAGAAAGCCACATCTGTCAAATTTTGTAATTTAGAAAAAGAAGAAAGCGGTTGAGGCTGTGATGGTGCACACATTTAACCCCAGCGAGAGGCTACCTTAAATGCTCTCTCCTGATAATGAGATTGATCACTGACTCACATGCCATCCAATAGCCCTCATCCAGCAGCTGGTGGAAGTAGAAGCAGACACCCACAACTAATCACTGAACTGCACTGAAATCCAGATGCAGAGAAGGACTAATGAAGAGCAAAGGGGTCCAGACCAGGCAGGTGAAACCCACAGAAACAGCTGACCTGAACAATGGGAAGCCCTTAGTTTCCAGACTGACAGCTGAGATACTAGCATGGTACTGATGCAGACTCCATGATCGTGGGTTTCAATGAAGAGACATAGGAAATCTATGGGACCTCCTGTAGTAGTTCAGTACTTATCCCTAGCATTGGTGTGGGCTTTGAGAGTCCAGTCCACATAGAGGGTACACGGAGGTGGGCCTAGGCCCTATCTTAAAGGATATGATAGACTCTGATGACACCCTATGGAAGGCCTCACCATCCCGGGGGAGCAAAAAGGATATGTGAGAGATAGGGGTTTAGTTGGGAGGGGGGTAGGGGAGGAAGGGAGGAAGAGGGACCTGGGATTGTCATGTAAAACAATCTTGTTTCTAATTCAAATAAAAAAATCGGGGAAAAAAAGAATCTCCTAATATAATAATAAACATTACCAAGATTGACCTCCTCTCATCTCCATGACCATAATATAAGGAGACAACTCTGACTTGGAACCAGTCTGTAGTCCATCCCCATATCATAGAACATGTATCTAGCAGGCTGCTCAAAAGGACACTTGAGGGTCATATCCACTGTTAAGTCCTTGTCTGCATTTAACTCCCCTGCACCTTGTCAGAAAAGTGTAATTCTATGAATGGACAAGGTTAACCACAGTAACAACTGTTCGAACAATACTGTTGTACTTAAGAAACAATTCAGACATTCTTTGCTATGTAAATGTCCCAGTTTAAATTGTTCAAACTGTAACCATCAGGGAGTTCTTGACCCCTGAAAAAGGAGCCTTCTACTCTTTTGATGGGGTATAAAAAGACTTTGAACAATAAACATGAGTGGTCCAGTATTCACTGAATGCCCCCCCCCCAATCCTATCTCCTGTGACTTGCTTATTCCTTTCCTCAGCTCACACTCCCCTCTCAGGTCCCCTGACCCCACAGACGCCTCAGCAACACAGATTACTACACCCTTCTCTTAAATTTGTTTTGAGAATGAGAGGTGCGGGAGCGGAGGGCAGATGCAACTGGGAAATGAATGTGATCAAGATAAATAATGTAAAAGACATAGAATAAATTTTTAAAAAGGAGGAAAAAAAAGAACATAACCCTACCCCGGCTGTGATGGCACACGCCTTTACTGCCAGCACTCGGGAGGCAGAGGCAGAGGCAGGCGGATCCCTGTGAGTTGGAGGCCAGCCTGGTCTCCAGAGTGAGTTCCAGGACAAACAGGACCGTTACACAGAGTAAACCAAGGAGTAAAAAAGCAAGTTCACCAAGCCAACGGAGCGAGGGGGAGGGG